TATACGCGCGATTCACTCCTTTCGCACTCGGCCACCTCTTCGTTCATCCTGACCGCCTGCCCCTTTCCCACTCTTTTAACTCCCCCGCCTCCCCTCCTCGCACTTATGCCCTTCCACCACCGGTGTAGTCTAGGTGTACAAGGTGTTGCCTACCTATACGGAGATCATGAACACATCTTGCTACGCGACCCTCAAGTAGCCATGACACTCACTTAGGCCCTTCTCACAACATGCTCAAACAAGTTGCCTACCTCATCGGGGTACACCCTAAGACCCGCCACTACCCGCGCAAAGGATGCGAGTTGGGTTGCATACCTACTAGGCGCTCGGACAAGCGGCTCGTTAGCCTCGGACGGCTATTTAGTCTGTCTTGGGGTTTATACCCTTTCCATCTAACACACACCCTAAAACAATGCTCGGTAGCCTGTGGCCTCACAACGCAAGCCACTCTTCTCCTATCCGCCTTGCCTTGCTTTCTCCTGTTCATGGGTTTGGGTAGAGTTCCCCTCGTACAGTAGTCGTAATCGATGGTCAATTGCGAACCGTCCTGCTGTACTTTTTCCGCTTCTGCACAGGATCCCAGAGTGTGACAGAGAGCTATGTGGATTGTCCGATCCCGCAATTTAATTGAGCATTTTTTAATTTTCGATCGGTTCACCCGTTGCACGAGGGGTTTCGTACGGCGTGAATTTGATCAGCAAGGCCGTGGCACGAATGAGACAGAGAAAGGTGGAGAGGGAAGAGGAGAGAGGGGTGCAGGGTGCAGTGGGGGGAGGCATGCGCGCTCACCTGGCGTGGAGGAAAATCTCTCTTCTCCTCTCTGGCTATAAATCTGGGCCGCTGTCTTTGGCTTGCTGATCGCGTGCCAGGAGCACGACAAACCGTGTATCTGAAAACCTGTCGAGTAACACCCGCATTGCGTTATTCATTGCGTAATTTCGCATGCTTTTAGCAAACGGCGCCAGAGACTCTTTGCAGCGACCGAGAAAAATTCGCATCGGCATTTTTGCTGTCTCGTTAACACCAAGACCAAAATATTGTAGTTTTAAAATAGTGCACATTTTACTTGACAGGCGAAGTGCGGCGCTGTCGCACGAAGTAGTTAATAATTATCTACCGCCTGCCTTTTCAAAAGCGAGAGATACTCAGGAAACTCACCTGTGTATTTAGTACTCACAAGGAAGAGTCGACTTGCAAGCACACACCTACAAGTGTGTACAAAAGAACAAAAATCTTAATGTACCTTTATGTCCTATTTTGTACAAACGTATGTGGGTGCAGATTTAAGTGTTTAAGCCTGTAACACATTGTACATATTGTACAGCCCACATTTTCACTTAACGATGCACAAACAAAATCTGTGTTTAGACATTGAAATTACAAGTATGCACGCACTAAAAAGTACGTTAAACATGCCTTGTGCTCAGCACGGTGTACCGTAGTACCGCCCGCCCACTCGTTCCTCAATATGCCCGCCCCTTCCTTTCTATCCCCGGCGGCGCTCCAACGACGGGAATATGATAGAAATCCCGCTGAGCCCTTTGTGCACCGGGCGCAACATTGCCGCTCGCGCGCTATGTCTTCCACAATCCCGGCGCTCTACACAGCAGCCCACCGACGAGAAGTACATGAAAAGACTTGAGGAGGGGAAGGAGAGCGAGAGAGAGAGCGGGGAAAAACAAGAGACAGGCAGGCGTGATGAAGAATCGCGTTACCTATTTACGAACGCCCCCTCCCAACCTACTCATTTCCACCCCCGCGCGGCCTTGCCCCCCTCTCTCTCCCCTTCTCCCTTTCCGCCTGTGTTTCCTTTACGCTCGCAAAGTTTCCCTCTCCCACGCCGTGCCACATCAAGAAGTGCCCGCCCGAGCACAGCACCCGGGGCCTCTCTGGAATATCGGACAACAGGTGTTGCCTAGCTAGCAGGCGCCGGAGCGTGCAGAGAGAGAGAGAGAGAGAGAGAGAGAGAGGGGGGGGGGCAGGCGAGCGTAATGAACAGCTTTGTAATAACGAGCGCGATGTACGGACGGGCCACCCAGCCGAAGAAGGCCGAAGCGCGGAGTGGCGGTGTGGGTCAGGGCGAGGCCGCGGCGGAGCAGGCGGGGGGCGAAAGGTCGACTATGTATCGATAGTTCTGGAGAATGAGTGTGTCTGGGGACAAAAATGATAGTTTAGGGCGGAGTTTGTGTTACCACCGGATGTCAAGCAGCGCTGTAAAAATAAGTGGCGCAAATTTACTCTGAAAATTTTTCCCCTTGAATTATTTGTTGCACAATTAAATTAAATCAATACAAATATAGGTAGCAAAAATGCACAATTTTTAAGTACAAAGAAGTGTTGTGATTTCACAGCTACTCGCAAATGTTGGTAAACCATGCACAGAATATTTTTCACACTGTTGTGACCGTGGTGAATTCCTATAGCCTTGGGTGTAAAGCAGACTGTAACTCGATGAAACCGTCCACTTGGTTTCCTAGTTTCTTGTCTGAAAATGGTCAAAATGCCTCTGGTCCAGCCTCCAGCCGTCCCCAACCATACTGCAAAACCTTCTAAGCGTTTTGACCGTGTGCCTGTCGCGTGAGATGCAACTGCTGGGACAACTGGCGTGCTGCACGGGAGAAAAAACAGGTTATATCTGTTTTGATCTACTACGTTGATAAGGAGGTAGGAACACATCGCCAAAAAACAGTGAAGGAGAGAGATGTGCCAACGAGTCTGAATTTGACTCGTGGATATATCCATACTCACCGATTTTTCCGCGAGCCCGATGCCTAGACTTCGGGCATCTTCGGCTTCGGTTCCCCGCTGGTCCAGCGAGCCGGCTTTCAACCACCACAGAGCGTTCAAATTATTATTTCTTTAGCCGCTCGATGCTCCTCTTGCTACCTGTAAATCTTCTGCGTGAGGGCAAGATGGCACACTAAGCGGAGGTGTGGAAGCGGGATGAGGAGGAGGAGGAGGAGGAGGAGGAGGAGGAGGAGGATTACAAAGCTAATGCGGTAGCCTAATTATGCAGCATTGTGGTGGGCGCGCCCAAAACAAGCATCCCTGTAAGGCGCAGCCCCGCGCCAATATATTCAGATTGCAATTATTCAAATGAACTTTGACGCCTAGCAGCTCGCTGCGGCGCGCTTCTGAGCGTGTAGTGGGGCGGGGCGTGGCGGGTAGCTTCTTGCGGCCACGCCGCGACACCCCACCTTGCCCCCCCC